AAGGGCATGTTTGCCCTTGTTATGATAAACCAAGGGTGATTTGTGGAGCTTGATTTGTGAGCTTGCAGCAGAGATGCACATGATCTAGTTGCATTGTACAGCAAACCTGCTGCTAGCTATATGAGTTTCTAAAAGCGTTACAGGGTTACAGGCTACAACTAGCATCTGTGTGTGTATATGTATTAGTGTTTGCTTCTGCAGTGTTGCTTGAAACAAGGATACTTATCCAGATTTAATGAGACAAGGTTGAATGTGCGTTTGAATGTGAGAGTGTTTATTATAGTGTGTGTTACAGAGACATTTAAAGATGGTGTTAACTTCACTCTATTATTACCTAAGGTTATCATTACATAAAGTTTATTTGGGTTACAGATACAGCTTTTTCTGTCTTCTCTTAATTACAGCTTTCTAGTAATGATTCTTCTTCTGATGATTCCATGGAGCTCACTTTGTGTGGGAGTGAGAGGCAAATTAAGAGACTGATCGTGTGTTAATTACCGCACCACTGTAATGAAGTGCTCCGTCTTGTCTTGTCTTGTATCCCTCCCCAGACCTCCCTAAGGCAGCGCTGAGGATCCTCAGCAACATGACCTTCCTGTTCGTCAGCCTGTCCTACACGGCAGAATGTGCCATCGTAACTGCCTTCATCACCTTCATTCCCAAGTTTATTGAGTCACAGTTTGGCATCCCCGCCTCCAACGCCAGCATATACACTGGTAAGTGTGTGTGTGTACTGTACTGTCTTTGTTTTTGTTACCTTTTCTTCCTTTATATGCATATATTATAATATCCACTTCATCACAGCTGTACAGCAGTCAGACATATTCTGGAGTTGTCTGAGTCATTGCAGTCACTGTCCCCTGTGGGCCGCCTTCAAGGATATGTGGGAGCCTAATGAGGAATTCTTTACAATATGTTCTGAGCAATAAAATACATTTTACACAGAAAACAATGCACATGTTGGTACTATATCATCAGAATCATTTGTGATCTATTGTCCATCAAGTACTTATTTATTAATCAAGTAGTTGTTTCATCACTTAAAAGCACAAATACTGTGAGAAAATCTCAACAATCGATGAGGGTAAATGGTCCGGTTGAGGAAGCTCAGCCATGACTTTCCAGCAGTGAGAAAGAAATGTTGGACATCTTAAGTTGAAGAAATTGTATGTTTATTTGCCTATAATGCAGCCATTTCATAGGTTAATCAAACTGTCCCTGCGAAGATCTGAAATAACCCAAACTATTAGATCAATGAGGCAAAACTGTCCTTTGCACAGAGTTGATTAGAATGCATTACTCTAGTCTGCAGCATTTTAAAAGGCAATAGATAATTTTTTTATTGAGTTGTTGAACAGTTAGAAGGAAGAAAATATAGTAATATTCGTGAGACTTTAAATTTATCTGCATGTAAAATATTTTCATGAATACATTCTCAAACTATAATGTATTTAGAAAATAACTTTTCAGTTGCAGTGAAAAATTAGCTTTTTTCTACATTATTTGTTGCTATCTTTGGGTTTATCCTGTGGGTTCTTATTGTGGACAGGGCGATGATACATCATCACATAATATATGCACCATTAGTCTGTACCAGTTTGAGCTCACATTTGTTCTCACCTCTCCACGTGCGCACGGTGATTCACTGTCGGACAGAAGCGCTATGAGTCATAGAGACTTTCATTCAGTGATAAGCTTCCATTACATCCCCCTGACTGTAACACACAAGTCTCTGTTGACTGCAGGAGACACATTTATCATAATGTGGTCACACACACACACACACACACACACTACCCTCTGCTCTGCCTGTAAATTGTGCATCGCATATGTAGAGTGTACAAGGAACCAGTCTAATTCTTCAGTCTTGTCGGAGCCAGTGGTGCTAATACACAACTCATCTGATATCAGGATTATTACAACAAGGAGTGATTGAAAACTCAATTACCCCTGTGAAAGAAAAAAGGTATATGTGTGTATTTATGTGTGTGCAAGTATTCTGCTGGCTAACATATGGTCATCTCTCTCTCTCTCTCTCTCACACACACGCACGCACATGCACACCAACACACACACAATACCATTGCCTCATCTCATCTGCCTGTTGCCAGGATACAAGGGGTAAGGGCAAACGGGTGGTGCGGTTGCCGTGGCTACTCAAACGATGCCAAGCTGCTGGGATGTGATGGTGGTTGGAGGAGAGGGCACTCCTGTTGATGGGAGCATAGTGTTTCCACAGGCAGCCAGATGGACTGACCAACGGTGACATTTCCCTGATGACTGTTTGTGAGGCATTGTTTTAGGAATGACCGGAAGAGCAGACCGTTGTTTTTGTAAATTAATTCTCTGCAGCCATGCTAGCGCCTCTGTGAGGCTGTACTTGGACACTGGGATCTTTTGATGAAATGCTAGAATCAATATGCTAATATCATCTCAATGACAATGTTGTCACGCTGATGTTTAGAAGGTATACCATGTTCACCATATTAGTTTAGCATGTTAGCGTGCTAACATTTAAACAAAGTCCATTTGAGGCTGCCCAGCACCAAACAACAGACAGACAACGTTAGCAATGAGCAACAGTATGCCAGCAAGTTTCTTATCAACTTAAAAGGTGATAATAGCCTACATCAGTGTTTACTGCTTGTTTTTGTGGCCAAAAATCAACAAATTCAGGTATTAACTTTATTTAAGATCCAAAATGGAACCAGATGCATAAATGTTTCCGACAGCAACACCACCTCACTAGAAATAAACAAGAGAAGAATTGTGTATTTAGAATAAGCAGCATTAGCCACAGTGCCAAGTCCAAAGAAGGGTATATATAAAGGAAAAGACGTCACAGCTTTGTCTTACTAAATCTGTAGGAAGCAAATCATAAAGACTGAGACATAAAGAAGCTGTCAAAATGAAATTAATCAAAGTGTTGCAAATTACCACCTTGATGAGTGTGTATAATGCCCGGTTAAAGAGCCACCACTGCTACATGCTCATTAGATGTTGCTACAGAAATAGCACTGTAACATATCACAAACGCCTCCCTCAGCTGCAGTTTCCCCACACGCTGCCGTTGCTGCTCTCTGACCGTTTCTCTAACTTTTTTTTCACTTGGTGGCTCTTTTAATCTCAGCCACTGTTCCTTTCAGACATTTTCTTCTCTCTCTACTGGTACAAATTGTAGTTGGCAATTGTAAGTAGCCAAATGTTTGCCACAAGAATCAGAGTTTCTTTGATGTAGGATCTCTAAGAGATTAGCACTGACATGCATAGAAGTGTGCATTTCTATCAAATAACTACAGAAAAATGACTGCCAGCTAAACATTTAATCCAGATAAAATGTAAAGGTAAATCATTCATGTGGCATTTAACACTACAGCATAGTGTGTGTGTGTGTGTGTGTGTGTGTGTGTGCGCGCGCGCGCCTGGGTTATGATATCTGGTTTCG